GTATTTATTTATTTATTAGTCAATTTATATGTTTCCGCTTTTATTTTTATGTCACTTTCGGTCCTCCGTACTGCAGAAGCCTGATAATCACCCATTCATTCAAATCAGGTGTGTTTGAGCAGAGGAAAAAATAAAACATGCAGGGCTGCGGCCCTGGAAGACCAGGATTGCCCACCCCTGCTTTAAACAGAATGATGTAATTTAATATATTGGACATTGCAGTTTCATGTCATAATTAAAGCACATTTAGGCCAAACAATGAAACAACAAAATACTGTCTAACTTAAATCAAATTTAAAATACAATAAATAGAATCAACAAATTACCAAACAGAAAAAAACTCTATAAAGTACAATAAATTAAATGAATGTACATTTCCTGCTTATTTTGATACACAAGTTTAAAAAAAATCAATAAAGCAATAAATAATAAATATGRACCAATCTTCAGTTTCTGGTTTGAGGACACATTTCCATGTAATTTATGGCCAAAATTGAACTCCATCATCTATTTATCATCCACTATCGCTCCATTATCTGTGCTTTATGCTCCTCTCTCGCAGCCTCCCCTCCTCCTCTCGCTGGCATTAAGTTCAAACTTGACACTGATGTTGACTCACTTTGTCACCCCTCGGTGGCTCCCTCTCCCTTCGCCTCTCCCTCTCTCCCCATCGCTTGGAGGACACGAGTGCCCGCAGACGCATTTCTCTCCAGAGCCCCCTCTCCTCCCTCTTTCACTCTATCTCACCCTGTCCAACTCTCTTCATCTTCCTCCTACTCTCTCCTTTACACACGCACACACATACACACACATACACACATACACACGGTATTGTCAACAAAGCTTGAGAACGAGGGACGTTGGGGGAATAAAGGTCCACAGAGGAAGAGAGTAACTTGCGGTGATTTACCTGGACACTCGGTAAGTTCACGAAGAAATTGTTTGATCGTGAATTTAGTGCATTTATGTGTTTTCATCAAAGTTATTTTTGGGTCAGCTAACAGTGTTGATAATTTCTCAGGCTATAATTCATAATCCGATTACTTGCTTTTTGTCACTCAACATAATAAACCCAGTTTGACCTTTGACATTACCTCGCTGCAGTTGTTGGAATGATTCGGAGCATTATTGATAGATATTTACCTACCTTCATCGCTTACAAAGGTTTAAAAAAATCTTTCCACATTAGATAAGATAAGACAAGAGCTGGGTAAATGTTTATTTTGGGAGGGAAAAGTCAATAATTAAATGCTTTTGCACTGAATTCTGCAGCTTATTTCAAAGTTTAAACTGGGTTTTAGATGTGCTATTTCAATTTTTACTCAGACGCTGCCTGTGTGTGTATAAATGCTTTTGTTGTGCATGTGTGTGTGTCTGCATGGGTTTACCAGAAAAAAAACAGAGCTAAAAGCAAATCAAATGTCGTGGCTTTCAAAGTGGCTTCTAATGTACCTCATCTCCCCGTGGTATACTAGCATAGCAATGTATAACACACACACGTTACGACAGCGAGCATGTAACTAACTCCATTTATGTCTGTCATCATGAAGCTAATTCACCACAATGCCAACCATGTGTGAACTCATGCGATATGAACCCCTCCTCTTTCGTCTTCTTCTCCTCTTTTGCTCCCGTCTCTGAACGGATTGGAGGAGGCAGCGAGGAGCCGAGGTGACGGTAAACAGAGGCGAGCACACACACACACACACACATACATACACACACACACACACACGCCGGACTGGACCTCCTTTCATTTCCACACATGTTGGTCTGGACGCTCGTAGCATGTATGAGAAGTTAACCATGCTGAACCTGCAGAGCGGCTCAAACTGGAGCGGCCCTAACAACTGGTACCATGACCACACCGGCGTTCAGACGCAACACAACTCAGGTGAGGCGACCCTTTCAGCAGGTGCATGTCACTAAATTTGGATCATAGAGGAATAAAAAAGTGATTTGACACTCGGACAAGTCCAAGTAGGATTCAACGAATCTAAAATGTGCTGCTGCTTTGATAACATTCCCTTGACCCATATTCATTTTCTCCCACCTCTGCCAGTGTCCGAGGGCTGCATGCTGGACACAGAGGGCAGCATGGGGGGAGAAGCAGGAGGAGGAGGATCGGGCAGAGGAGGAGGAGGAGTCCCTGTGGAGCGGGACGAAGGTGAGGAGTCTCAGCTGAGGCTGCAGCTCAAGAGGAAGCTGCAGAGGAACCGGACCAGCTTCACACAGGAGCAGATCGAGGCTCTGGAGAAAGGTCAGGCCATGCAACGCACGCTACACTCTCTCCTTTTGGCTCTGCAGCCACTCGCTGCCCTCCTGGGGTGGAAACTGTACCAGTTTCTTCTGTTACTTTCCCCTCCTGTTTGCAGATTATCACTTTTTTTGTGTGTTGTTAAAATGAAAACCAACAATTAGGCCGTAAACAAATGCTGCCTGTGCGTAATATGGCTGAACAAGATCTTCATGATTTCCTTCAGGGGAGACTAAGCATCACCACGATCAGTTCCAGATGCAAATTATCCACGATCTTAACTCCACAAATATTCCTTATCTGCTCCAAAAAGGCCTCCGGCAACGTGTGGAGCGGAGCTGTTGATAATGCATCATTACTGTGGCTGTAATATGCAGCGAGATCTGGCTCTTGTAGCCACTGAGAGGGATCAGAGAGCCACCCTTGACTGGATGTGGCTGCAGAAGGGCCCCCGAAGCTAAATAAGAACTCAGTGTCCACAGTGCAGCCGAGTGGAAACATATCACTGCGGTCACTCCGTGCAAATGACATTAATGAGGTATGCTGACCTCAGTGCACGGCCAAGGCACAATAACAATCATGTGTTGACACGGASGCCAATTATAACCAAGCCAATTATAACAATTTGGGAGACAGATTGAATTAACAGAGTCATTATTTTTCTTTTATTAACCATGAACTAACTGAAGTTGAGTTATTTACAAGAACTTTAATACGCCATCCTGTTCTCAGATTGTCGACTTAACTTTTATATCACAAACTTCTAATAGTGGGATTTTGTTGAAATGCTAAACCAAGGCTAGTGTCACAGGTGTGAAAGTCTTGAACCAAACATGAAACCTCAGACATCAGGAGGCTCACTGACTGTTGCTAACAAGGCGAGGCAGATTCATGTTTCAACTTGTAAATAACAGAAATACCAGCGATGACTGAAACAGAAAGTCTCAAAAATATGAACGTTAGAGGAAAAAGGCTAAAGTTCAACACAAAATCAGATTGAGACACTCAGAAAAAAAAAAAAAGGCAAAATCAACCAAACACAACACAACATTGTGAAAACCAGCGAGGACTTCGCCTCTTTTCAGTTTAAGCCAGCTCTCTGTGAAATAAAGTGCTTAGGCAGCTTCTCAACTTGAGTCCTTTCATTTGAACTTTCTGCGTGTTCCGCAACAATAAATAATTTATACAAAGTGCAACAGATAAATATTTCAAAAAGGGTTGTACGGATACAGCTCAACTTCCTGGATTTAAAGGTTCCTTGGAAAGATAATTACTGATGCTAATATTAAGCAGCAAATACAAGATCAAAAGTACGCTTATAGCATGTTCGACTTTCTGTTTTTATAGAGTTTGAACGGACACATTACCCAGATGTTTTTGCCAGGGAGAGACTAGCAAACAAGATTGATTTACCTGAGGCCAGGATACAGGTGAGCAGCCTTTCATGGCTTTGTTTACGTTTTACTTCTGTACAATCTGTGAAAAATAAGTCACAACATTATAACTTAATGAACAGGTCTGACAGGAGTCTGGTTGACAGGTGTGGTTTTCAAACCGAAGAGCAAAGTGGAGGAGGGAGGAGAAGCTGCGCAACCAACGGAGGTCAGGCAGTGTCACCTCCTGTTCTCAGAGCCAGGCCCCTCTGAGCACCTCCTTCAACACTTCAGTGTATCATCAGCAGCACGGCAGCAGCTCAGGTAAACTCCCCGGCTCCTTAATTACAGCAGATACCATCGTGAGATTACCCCCAACAACACACTGATGAGACGAGACGCACAACTTTACATTTGCTCTTCATGATTTATACATCTGGTGACAGGAATATTTTAGCAGTTTATAATCCACAGAGCGCCTCTGCTTGACATTTGCAAGCAGACRTTAGAGTTTCTCCATTAGAGTGCATATATATTAAACATTTCCACCTCCAGTTGGGCTCATTGACTGTGAGGAGATATGTGTGTGTGTGTGTGTTCATGTCCAGTGTGTGTGTCTCTCTCTTCAGGGTCCATGTTGAGTCAGGCTGAGTCGTCTCTGCCCAGCTACAGCTCGCTGTCTGTTTTCTCATCCGGAGTCCAGGTTGGACATTCAAAATTCATCATCACCTTCCACACAACACACTGAAGCAAAACCAACTTATTCTGCTTTACAGAAATCTCAGATCAGTAGGACACAARTTAATAAAATTATTATTACTATTATTACTGCAAATAGAGGCAAGACATCAGTAAATGTGGCCTTTGCCTTTTTATGTTATTGGGTCTCCCTATATAAAGTTACTATAAAGGCTCAAAAACTAACAAGGTCTGTTTTGTCTAAACTGTACCTTCACCTGCAACAACGTTAAGCTCTGAAGTTGCTAAAAGCCAACTGTTTAAAAAACTGTAGCTAAGCTGCCCTTCAGTGTTATACACAACTTGGCTAATTGAACAGTATGTTTTAAGGAATTTTAAACAATATTGCTTAAACTTTTGAGGATCAGACCATTGAGATGCAAAAAAAAAAAAAAACAAGAAAAAAGAACCAAGAAGAAAATCATTGTTTATTTCCCAAAAAAACTGTATTTGATAAGTCTGTCATCACATTATTACTTAGAAAACTGTTTGTTTGTTTGTTTGTTTGTTTGTTTGTTTGTTTGTTTGTTTGTTTATTTGTTTGTTTGTTTGTTTGTTAGGTAGTCAATTTGGCCATCTTATAGCCCTTAGTCTACATTTTTATAAGACCTTTTTTTTTCTTTAAGATAAATTA